GTGGCACCCCTGTATATATTGTTATAGTTCCAAATGTACAAACATTGATAACTCTATTGTTTTTATAAAATGTTATATTCTATTTATGTGCGTTCTATAACAAAAATTGTCGTATTTTTAAAATGTAGGTAATTGCCTTATAGACAGAACGACTTTTAAAAGATTTTTTTGAGAAATTAAATAGAATATCCATTTAAGAAGAACAAGAGGTACTTTTATATGCACTTATTATTTTTAATAGATATCATATATTAGTTAACTAAAATATTTTAACAGAAAGACCACCTTAAAATTTCCCCACAGTTCCGTCATGATACAAGATGACATAGGACGCCCATTTTAAGAACTATCGCATCACTATTGCCATCTCTAGTTTGGGCGATATTATTTGTGGTTATTTTATGCGCGCGTTCGCACATCTTCCATCTCCCTTTTTTAATGCATGCCGGCGTTGGGTGTTAAAGTTTAAAGACAGCTGAAATCTGGATAACTAAGTGAATGTGACTCGATGACCGACAAAGGAACCATTCCGATTTCATAGATAAGCGCGGAACAGAAAGAAATAAATATGATAGGCCAAATAATGCCACTGGCGGCGACGGCCATACCCATTAGTGCCATTCTTTTTGTAACCGTCACGTTTCTGTTCAAGGGATTCCTCAATATACGGTAAGTGGTATAGCCCCATGTGGTAATCGCATATAACCAGCCCTGACCTGATCTCCAGTTCCCGCTACGATGCCCGCGTGAATTGTTGGTTCTGCAATGGCAACGCACGGGTGCCCTACGCGGATCGCAATAGTTGGACCTGCCCCAAGTGCGAGCAGTACAATGGATTCACCAAGGACGGAGACTACAATCGGGACATGCCCTCGCAGCGGGACTGCAGCCTTGGCTCCCAGAAGAACAGCTCCCACGGCAGCTCGAGCATCTGTGCGAACTCCTATTACCAGGACGTCCTGGCCTCGAATCCTCCAGAACCAAAAAATGGACTGTGCGACCAGTGCAATGAGGCGCAGCGTCTGAAGGTCGAGAAGCTGTCGCAGTTCGAGCCCAAGAATGAGTCGCGATTCGATCAGGAACTTAAGGTTTACAGGTGAGGAAAATGGAACTATGACTAAATTAGCTTTGGAAAACCATCAAAATGATCATATACATAGTATAGTGTACTATTATATCATTCTTTCTACCCTATAACAGCTGAAGATTTGTCATGTGTATGCTTGTCGCCTAATTTTGATGAACATCCATTGACTCCATTATGAATGTTAAAAAAATAAGGAAGCCGAGCTTATTTGTTTGGATTGTATACATTAAACTGGTTTTTCGGGTTAAAGTGAAGTAATTTTGATTTAATTATCTATGTTCGTAAGCATGTCAATATCTTCAAAATCAAAGAAAGTGTGCCAAATTGCGTATAATTATATCTGATAAACATTCGATTCCCTCTTTCTTACCTTATATAACAAATAACAATTAACGAGCAAAAAGATATTCATCAAACTAATGGTTTTGTTATATTTTTCCCTTAGAGAACGACTGGAGAAGCAGTTTCGCCTGTGCAGCAGCTGCGAACGGCACGTGAACAAAGTCCTGCACGAGAAGAAGAAAATGGTGTTGAGCTCCAAGTTCCTAAACTATATCATCAAGGGGGCATCGCTGCTCAAGCAGCCGCACTTTAATCGCTTGGCCACTGCCCAAAAGCAATACAAACTCCAGCGATACCGCGCTCTAATGACCATCCTGACCGTGGTTAACATTATTTGCCTGCTCTGCCGCCTGCCACATGGAACAGCCCATCAGTTTACGACTTTCCTGGGAAAATTCGTTGGATTAGGACTGTTCTATGCCTACTCCCATGTGCTGGCCTTCATTCGAGTTTTGACCTCCGCCGTGGGCATTTTCCTGGAACAGCAGGAAACAACAGCCAAACTATTATTATACTGCCGTACTTTTGGCAAGCTATTGCTGTATTCGGTGGGCTTAAGCCACCAGCAGGTGCAGCAGGCCACCTTTGCATCTTGTTTTATTGGGGTCTACCCATATGCCATGTTGGCCCTGAGTTTCCTTCACAAGATCAACGACGGTTTGAAGTTTACGCGATTTACCATCGCTCTACTGCTGTGGAGTGTGTATGCAACGGGAACCGAACTGCTGGCTCCTCATATTGATGGAATCTCTTTTATAGTAAGTTTACAAACATATACATAATGATAACTATTACAAAGCCTTCTCAACTTTTACAGCTACTGGGCAGTGTTTTCACCCTGGTTTTGTTGATCACCAACCAGTCCAATCTGCTTAGTCAAACGAGTCACAACGAGTCCGCCTGCGAGAGTTTCCATCGCCTCTGTGCGGACGAATGTGACGAGGAAACGCTGAGCATGCTCAGTCAGCAGTTAAGCGGGTGCAGCAATACCAGCACTGGCAATATATCGCTCGCCTCCGCCTCTGTTTGCCACTCACCCGCTCCTACAATCTCGCCGCGAACAATTCATCCGCCCGCTTCTCTGTTGTCCCTGGATTCGTTGCACCTATCGAAGCAACGGATGGAACAGCAGGCCTGGTCCTCGAACTATGGAGGAGCGTCTACAGTGGTTACTCCGCAAGTCCAACATCCGTTGATGTTCCAGCAGAAGCCGATGAGGCCAATGGAGTCCCAATGGTATCGTCCCGGATATGGTAACATGGCCCAAAACCAGGCTTTTACCAGATCCACGCACAATTTGTTGATGCCATCGCGTTTGCCGGTCATAAGCAGGAATGTCGGCGGCGCTGATGTAAGCGCCTGGGTGGCGGCCAATCAAAGTATCAACCAGGACCTAAGCACTGCCAGTCTTATGAGACACTACGCGGAGAAACAACAGCAACTCTCACGGACCTCGTCCCAATCTTCCGGATTCGAGTCGCAGCCGCGACCAGAAACGCAATGGGGAACAGCTGCGCCGACCATAAGGGACTACGGCTGGTCCGATAACCGGGGAAGTCTCCGCAACCTGGCTGCCCCGCCCCTAGCATCGCCCACGCCCACAGTGGCGCACAGTGAATTTCAGTACTCGAGGACAAATGTGCCGCAGCAACAGCCAACTATTCAGCCTGGGGACTTACTAAGAAAATGGATCGAGGGCAGCTCCAAAGCCACACAACCAATACACTGAAATGTGATACAAAGTCATAAATGTCTAGGAAATCAGAGAGGAATTATAAGATCATAGGGATTCTTAAGATAGCAAAACAAATCACAGCCAGTTAGGAATTATTACAAATTTGACTTAACTTAATTATCATATAACTTATTACTTTTGACTATCAGTTTTTAAGTTTTCTATTTTACGGAGGGTTTATCCATTCTTTACCTTTACATGATACAAATCAGTGTCTGTGGTGTTTAGCTAGACGTTCCCTGAGTTTCATGGTACCAATCTACAGACCCATGATAATAGAAGGTAAAAGGGGGTTAGACTTCAGTAAAAACCTTAGTTATGTATTTAATTGAGAACTATCATAACATCCTGTTTTTATCGTTAACTGAACTCAGCAGGAGCTTCTCCTAAAACTTTGTGACTAACATAATTTAGAGAAATTGTTTATTATACAAATGGATATTTTTTGAAATAAAAGTGGAACAAAACATTAAAGCCTATGCATTATTTTATTAACATAGTTAATTACAAACTCTTTTAATAGACATCTTGCCAAAAACGACATTAAAACACAGTTTTTTTTGTATAGGTGCGTTTATTAATATTACATAATTAAACAGAGCTTAATTTTTATAAATTTTCTAAAAATATAAATTCAAACCGATATTAAATAAACAGCAACTTCTTAGAAATGGTTTTATGTGGTTATTTAAGTATTTTTGACAAATACAAATATAATTGACTTTTTATCTGTTTCTTTTATACTTTATTTTCAATATTAATTTGAAGGTTGTGTAAAATGAAGATGTTTAAAAATATATATTTTTCACTCTCCCGAAACAATGTTGCCAGGCTGTTAAGCGGTTAATTAGTATTTTTGGTAAGAATTTTTTAAGTATTTATTTTATACCCAGTACCATTGCAATCCAGGATTGACGACTTCCTAAAACTTGTATGATTTGGTCTTGGAGTTTGTATATATTGGGAAACAACTTTATATATTTTCCAGATCTTATCATACTTAAACCTACTTTGTTGTTGAGTCTACTAGAAAAGCGGTAGTTTTAGTATTTCCCCTCTATTTTCCCTGATATTTTTAGTACTTTATGACTTCCGCCAGCTGGCAACGCTGCTACAATATGGCTGCCGTATCGTAATGTGAATTTTTTTGAGAGACCGAGACGTACATACTTTTGTTGCTGCCAAAGTGGATGTGGACGGAGGAAAATAGTAATATTTAACTGCGTTGCGTGAGCGGGACAATCGTCGTGTCCCAATTGCGGCCACCGCCAGCGGCTCAATCGGCTGATAATAATTAAAATCATCGTATCAATATCAAGTTACCCATAACCCATCGCGGATACACATTAGTTGGCGAAGGGCAGAGCAGCGCAGAGCTATAGCGAATATTTCCATTTGTTGCCAACAAGACTGTCGTTGTTGTTGTTGTTATTGTGGTTTTTCAGTGAGAGGGGAAGCGGAAAAAAAGAGGGGGTGACCAATTGCGTTCGTAATCTTGGTGAAAAATCGGTGACCGTTCTTCTACAAGAAAAAAAAAAAGCATCGCGATAAGAAATATAAGAAAGAAAAATCTGATTGAAAACCAAAGAGCTGCTGTGTGCGAGCGAGCGAGAAGCGAGTGAGCGAGTGAGAGAGCTATGTATTGCATTTGCATTTCGTTGTGTGTGTCGTCGTTTTCGTCGTCGTTCGGTAAAAGTCGGTAAAAAGCAAAGCCTTTCCAACTAAACCACTTTCGGGAAATCGGCATCGGCAAAGGAACTGGAAACTGGGAAAAAGTCGAAGTCGAATTAAATAATAATATGCGTTACATCGATGGCAACAGCAGTGACCAGCAGCAGCTAGCGATTGCTCTCTGAAACGAGAGAGCGAATAGCGCTTTTCGGCCATAGCTTTTCTTCACACGCCTCTTTGGGCCGATCGGAAATTGTATTTGATTGGATTGGATTGGTAAGTACAAGAAGTGGCAGCACCATAACCAGCAAATCAATACTTTAAGGGGCTGCCATTCCGTTTCGTTCCGTTCGTTAGTTTTCCTAGCCCATTCGCTGGCGCTCTCCTTTCCTGCCTGCCTCTCTCTCATTCTCTCTCTCTGTCCCGAAAGAGCGCCGCCCCCCGCCTGCCGCCCGCCCCCACACACCAAATAAACGGTGTGTGTGCGTGCTTTGTAACAACGAGTACACTTTTCTGCACATACAAAAAAAAAAGGAAAAGAAAGAAAGAAAGAAGAAAAAAACAGAAAAAAAGAAAGACCGAATAAAGAAATTCACATAAATTTATGGCACTCTCCATCTCCCTCGCGCTCTCTTTTTTTTTAATATAACACTAGTGTGTGCGTTTTAGTTTTTAAAAAACAGTTGTTTTCACCGAAAGGGAATTTTCTTTTTGGTGGTATATTTTTAGCCAGCAAGCTCCTTTCGGAAATTATTTATAACCCCCCTCGAAATGTTTCCACGCAACGTTTTACGCGATAAACTTTTACAAAAAGTGAATATAGGTATGTGCAAGCCCACTTGATTTTGTATGTAAGTCCACGAATTGCTTACGTATTTATGAAATATTACTGTGCGTTTTGTCGGTGGGCGTGTGTGTTCGGCCCACAGTTTTCACTCATTTTCCTGGGGCTTTCCGCCAGTGACAAAGGAATACAAAAAAAGCAGAAGGGGGCGTGGCACTCTCTGCAACTAATTTAGATCAATAAAGCGTTTTGGATTCAAATGTCCTTTGGAGTGTTAAAAACAATCGAACTTATTGGAATTCCCATTAGCGTTCAAGTGATATTAATATTTCACAGAAGTCTGAAAAAAATGTCTAGTGCTAAGATATGTTTGAATTGGGGTACATGAAGTTGGGAAAATCCCAGAAGTGCACTTTTATCCATAAGATAGCAAAGCTTTATTGTAACTTTTTAACTTTTAAGTGCTAATAACCGCAAACTGGTTTCATTTCCGCCAGAAACATTGAAAATCATAAGCCATATTCCAACAAGTAAAAGAAATCAGTTTGTTACTGATAATATGTAGAAATACAAATTATTAAATAGGTATATTGGTATATTAAAAAAAATGTTATAGTTTACATTTTCACACATTACACGCGATAACCCATTAAAACTAAATAATTAATTATTATGAGGAACTGTGTAATTAACCAACTGATAAAAATTATATTACCATTTAAAAATTAAATGCAGACTCAATAATCTCTTGTTAAGATACTTTAAAATTAATGTTAAACTTATATTTGTCATTTTAAAATTATTTAGTTTTACTGTGAAGTACAATGGTGCTAAAAAACCGGAAGCCAACAAAAAAAAACAAAGGGATCAAAACAAATCGACTCTTATTACTAATTTATATTTTATTTAACAGGATGTAAAATGATGAATTAATAATTAAAATGGTAACGTAGCCTAACCAAAAAATGTAAGCTTATACTTATAAATTTGTATTAATAACTTTATAATCATTATTTTATTAACTGATAACTATTAACCTACTTAATTTAGTTTTCATTTTTAGTTTATAGATTGTAAAGAACTTACGAAGCTGTATTGACTTATTGATAACAAATAGAACTTAATATAAGTAATTGGCTTGCACGATGAGTGAAATTGTGGAGCATTTAGAAAAGATTACCCTTGAGCTTGTGGCAAACTTAGTCCAAGGCAATGCCACCTTGATGGTACCAAGGAACTCATCCTCGATCATGACCACGGGTTATCGACGGGTCAGCTATAATAACCGAGGAAGTCGTCATAGTTTCTGCCTGCTGACCTACATGCTTTCCCGGGTCCACCGATTGCAAGTGCGCGGCGGAAGCTTCACTGTCCGTGGACTTTACTACAGTGATCCGCAGCTGATCCGCTCGCAGTCCAGGATTGCCGAAGCCAGGCTGGATGTCTGTCGTATGCTGAACACATCACCCTTATCATTGGGTGTACTGGCTGCCTCCAAGGGCCTGATGGCAGGTGAGTCTCACTGGAATCCCTGGCCAAAGGCTGTCTGCTGATACACTGATACACTCTTGCAGGCGATATACGGCTGCTGATGACCAACGGTGATATTCTGGATGGCAGCTCATATGGTGGAGCCATCACCTTGCCCACGGATCCCGAGAAGATAGATCGTATTGAAACGGAAGCGGACTTCCTTCTGATCGTTGAAAAGGAATCGGTGTTCCAGAGTCTTCTGTCCAGAAATGTATTTTGCACCATGGGACAACCCTTCATCCTCATAACTGGCAAAGGATACCCGGATTGCTGCACCCGACGGATTGTCCATCGACTCAGCGAGGAGAATCAACTGCCTACCTACATTCTCGTGGACGCCGATCCCTTTGGCATCGAGATAATGCTCGTCTATCGCCATGGTTCGCAGGCCATGAGTTTCTCCAGCCAAGGACTTACCACACCTTCGCTGCGTTGGATTGGGCTACACCCCTCGGAGATTCCCGCCCTCGGCACTGGAGCGGTTGCCCTGGTTGCCGGCGACAACAAGAAAATCAATGACCTCCTCGCCCGCGGCGACTTGGAGCCGGGAGTGCGGCAGGAACTGCGCATGCTGCAGGACATTCAGCTAAAGGCCGAAATCGAGAGTGTCATCGACTTCCTGACCGACGACTATATACCGAACAAAATCAATCGGAATTTGTTTTTGTAGAGCTCGGTGGTAAATCAAATGAATACGTTCGGTGTTAAGTTTAAAATATACTATTTGTATAGAACTATGTTACAAGTTTTGAATATGTTAATGATTCGCCAAATAACTGATTTAGTCTGAACTATCGTTTTTTTCATTAAACTGATTAAAATAATCCATTGATTACGCAAAATAATTAAATAATTTGTCAAGGCTATTTCAATTTTCCATTGTTGGTGTGCAGCCAATGTTATTATGTATTCATGCTAAAAAATTGTTGTTATTTTTACAAAAAAGAATAGAATTAAAATAAGTGAGATAACCTTACGTTTAAATCGAGCAGATTGAGTAATGTTTATGTTATATATTTTGAAAGTGCCAAATCTGCTCTGAGTACCGTATTTCAAGAATATTTGTTTAATTAATGTTATTTTATCTTTCTGTGTTAAGCTGATCAAGTAATTTCCAAATCGCAGTTATTTAAAAAGAATGGAATATCTGCATAATTGGCGGATAATGGCAGTTTTATACTGGTAAAGTCTGAGTAATCAGCTTCTAGTGGTTCGTTTTGAGTGGACAACTGGATTTTGTGCATTACTTTGTGCGGACAAAGCTAGTTGAATCGAGCAGACAAAGGAGATTATTTATTGTGCATTTAAAAGTATTATGGCTTGAGGTCGGCAATCGGAGTGGGTAATTGACTACGATTTTGATAATGCCAAGGGAATGACCAGCCATTTAATGAGTGCCAAAAGATGCAAGTACAGACCGCCTTGTTCAACTCCATACTAATTGCGCTTTTATTTCTTTGCAGATGTGACAGAGTACCACGGATGATAGAAACCCACTGGGCATTTGACTACTTTTAAGCACCGAAACCCGAAAGACTCGCCGGATAATACTCGAATCTCACGTGCAGAATCTCTTAGAAACCCCATTGGACTGTTTGAAAATATGTCGACAGCAATGCGAACCACACTGCAGCCAGTTCCTGAAGCCCTGCCAGCGGATAGCGTGTCCAATGGCACCGCATCCAATGTTGCAGCGCCGGCGGCACCAGTGTCGAGCGCCACAAGTGCGGCGCCTCCACTGGCCGCCGTCTCCAGCACAACCGCCACCTACGCCACCAACTCGATCAGCACATCCTCGCATTCGGTAAAGGATCAGCAGCAGCAACAGCAGCAGCAGCAGCATGATTCAGCCAATGCCAACATTGTGTCACTGCCACCAACGACAACGCCAGTCGCCAACACCACAATGATGCCCATTGTAACGTCCTCGAATTCGGCCACCAGCAATAGCACCACGGCCACGCCCACGGCCACCTCGGGGGCGGCAGCAACGGGTGGAGTGGGAGTGGGAGTCGGAGGGGGCTCGGTGACCCCAGCTCCCGTGTCGGCGTCATCGGCCAACACCAATCACGCGCACCAGCACAGCCACCAGCACCACCATCATGTGGCCAACAACATGGCCACAGACGGTGGTGCCCGCTTGACCAGCAATAATTCGGCGGCGGTGGCCAGCTCGGCAATTAACCACCACCATCACCACGCCCCCGGCAGCGGTGTTGCGCCCACCGTCAATAAGAACGTGCTCAGCACCCACTCGGCTCATCCCTCCGCGATCAAGCAACGAACCTCGTCCGCCAAGGTGAGTCCTTAGTTGGGTTTCTCAAATCTCTGTACCTGTCATCCGTCCCAACGTCCCCAAGTCCGTCTCTTTTGGGAGCCCTTATCACCAGTCATAATGTTCGGTTGCCATCTATTTGCTCTTACTATCGTTCTGTGGCTTGGGTCATTATTTTCGTATTGTCCATTGATAAAGCTTCAAAGGGTGGAGCCCTGGTAAAAATAAAAACATCTCCCTTTCTAACATCTAAATGTTAAGCTTAGAGCACCTTGCAAACTGCAAATTACCATACTACTTTTCAATTTACAAGCCACTCTTAGTTTAATCTTTATGTGAGCGAAAAATAAACGTACAAACAATTTCAAAATTAAAAAAAAAATGTTATCTTAGGTCTGAGTTAAATTAAAATTAATAACATTACTTTAATGTGTATAAAACTTACCAATATAAAAGTATTTTAATGTTGGTATGCAAAATTTTATTGCACATACGCAGTGTTGTCTTCGAAGTTCTGTTTCTTACATCTTTATAGTGTTTTCATGCTAAAAATTTAATTATTTATTATTTATACTAAAGTCTTCTTAAATATAAAAGCAGAGCTTATAGGGGTCCTCCCTTTGTGTCTAATGTGCCGTATGAAAAATATTTCAGTGTATTATAAGGTGGGGGAAGAATTATTTACAAATACATACTCCAACACATTAGCGTAATTATATATACATACATGTAAAGTCAGTTCTTATAAATGAGCAGTGTATTTATGCTATTTATTGTGTCTCTTAAAATAATCAACGATTTATTACAATCTTGTGAAAAGTATATATCAACGTCATTGTAAACTCTGTTTCTATCAATGTTCCATCGCTTTTGTTATGTTTAAGCTTAAATACACATCGAGTGGTCAGTTAAAATATCTAAAAGAGGAATTAGGTCGCTGGGACATCATATGGACTTTTAAATTCTTACCTGGTGCCTTATTTACTTTTTTAGTAGTAAGTGTGCGTGGTATAGCACTGATTTATGATATCTTCCCATATGCTAATGGACAGTAAAAAAAAAGGCTTGAGTACTTGCTAATTGGTAGTAACAACAGCTCGAATTATCTACAAATTTAGTGGACTTTGCTATGTTCGAAAGACGCAAAGGCTGATTCAACAGAGCTGACTACGTCCATTCAGAAGTGCAATTATAGTATTTTAAACCATTCTCGATAATCACATCACGTCAGTCTAGCTCTTTCTCCCTCTAATTCTCAGACTGTGTATTTGTTTTCTAAGCCAAATCCGTGGGATTCGTAGTTCTCTGCGCACAATCATATAACTGTTTTGATTTGAAATGTTTTTCTGTCAGAGTTTGTGTGCTTTTATCCGACATACACTTGAATAGTTAGCATGGTGTAGGTAAATGAGCTTAACTAGTTGTCTTTGTGGATGTTAGGTGTGGAATCGTGAGCGACTAACTTATAACGATCTTAACTATAAGCACTGCTATATTATTTTGATGGCACCTGGGGGGTATATTTCGTAACTGAGAAGGGAATTCTTAGAAAATTATTTGAAGATGTATATGTGCTTGTGTTTTTCTTAGTCTTAAATGATTTTCAAATTGTTTTAGAAGTATTATACTGTTTCATTTTTAAGAAGCAGTATCATTTTCTATGGTATTTTTTCCAACAACCTTTTTCTCTGTTTGTATATAAATAAATTCTTGCTTCTCGGATTTTTCCTACATTAAGATATATTTAACGAGCTCTGAAGTCAAAAACACATATTACCGGCTTATTTCCTTCCTCAAAGACTTATTTTTAAGAGCAGCTTTCTAAATATTTGAGGATTCAGGGATTTTTCCTAAATTAAGATATATTTAACGAGCTTTGAAGTCAAAAACAAATATTTCCGGTTTACTTCTTTCCTCGAAGTCTTATTTTAAAGAGCAGCTTTCTAAATATTTTAAGATTCTCGAAATGCTTTGTGCTATATTTTGAGAAACTCTTTGAAGCTCTCTCTTTTTTTTCTGGATTATCCATTTCCAGTATTTAAAATTATGCTGAGTTTCGTATTATTGTTTTGTGGACCTTAAGCTCGGCTCGCAGACAGGTTCCCAAAACTTATATGGAGATCCCTTTGGGCAAAGCTCTTCCGAGTTCTCTCTTCTGCTCTTTGAAGTTTCTCAATGTTTGGCGAGAAATTTGTGTTGTTTCTACCAGTTCCAGTTTTTTTCGAGCAAGTGTGCTTGTGAGTGAGTGAGTGTTGGTTCGTGTGGCTATGAATCACCTGCAGTTAACTGCAGAGATTGCATACGATATTTATAGGGTGTGTCGTTGTTGTCTTGGAGTAGCTACACTAGCAAAAACAACAACATCGACCTTCCCAGACGCAGAACTTTGGCGAAAATGCCAAGCTCGCTCGCCACATCCACAACCAGAATTACATTCCACAGCCACAATGGCAGCCAGCATATAGCGATGGTCGAAAGCTTGTTTTAGTATTAAGTTCCACTTCATTCGTGTGGTCACCGTCGTCGCGCTGTTTTCTGTTGTCATTATCCGTCGCTCTCCGCCGATATCATCGTTCATCGTAGCCCCAGCTATATAGCTATATAGCTGTATCGTTATCGCCCCGCGATGAGTTGACTCCACGGGTATTGTTTTTTCTGCTTCCTTCAATTTTTGAAATTCGCCTTTTGCCCATTGTGACCACCAGTTATTATCGCACCAAGCACAAGGGCGTTACGTCAAAACAATACAAAAAAACGAGAAAGAAGCGAAAAAATCGCGAAGAGATTGCGAAAAAAATAATAATAATAAGCTAGAGCGCAGTTTATAATTGCAAGCCTAATCCAAATCCAAATCTCGGGCGTTACAACATCCGCGATAAAGAACGTCACTCTGGCTAATCTGATCAGCAGCGAGAGCTTAGAATGAAATCAAGGGCATGAGTACGCAGCTTAAAATAAGCCAAATTGACGCAGGAAAAGTCACAGTCACAGTCACAGTTACAATCGCATAAATAACTAAGTACACACGCACGTGTGTTTATAAATAAATTCGGTTAAATAGTGTTTAATTTGTAAATTTCCAGCCAGTGTGTGTGTGTGTGAGTGTGTTTTGCAGTTCCAGTGAAATGTATCCAGCTTTTTTTAAGCCCACCAAACCACTTCATCTCGCAGATACATTGAGAAATGAGCCAATTGCGGGTGATAAGTTAATTTAATTATAAAGTACGAGTATGACAAGAAATCAAAAAAAAAAGAGAAAGAAAGGAGAAGAAAAGAAACGAAAAAACAGTAGTAGTGCAGGCGAAAAGAACGAAAGCGGAATGAAAAGGAAAAAATGAACAAATTCCTACTCAAACACATGCGCAAAAGCAACAGACTTCTTTGCTGGTGTGCGTGTAAGTAACGCTTAAACGAGGTAACTAGCAGAAGAACAGCAACAACAACAACAGAGAGAGAGAGAGGGATAGAGAGGGAATCACAGAAATAGCAATAACAATTCGTGGGGCTTCATCGTTGTCTCTTTAACGCGATTGGTGTTGTTGTTGCTGGTCATCTAGTATCTGTGTTTCTGCGTATCTGTATCGGGCGTGCCAAGGCTTACGATCCACAATCCGCACACTGGCACACACCCACACAAAGATACAACCGCAAACCCAGCTGGAACGATTGTGGAACTTATCGCGAGTGTCTTGTGCCCACAAAAACAGACAAACAGACAAACACACACACACAGTGGAGAGATGTGTAAAGTGCGATAACT